GGCGCAGGAGGGCCTGCAGACGCCCTGGTAACCCAGCACCGAATGTACCCAAAGCATGTTGGTGGGCGCAGGAGGGCCTGCAGACGCCCTGGTAACCCAGCACCGAATGTACCCAAAGCATGTTGGTGGGCGCAGGAGGGCCTGCAGACGCCCTGGTAACCCAGCACCGAATGTACCCAAAGCATGTTGGCGGGCGCAGGAGGGCCTGCAGACGCCCTGGTAACCCCGCACCGAATGTACCCAAAGCATGTTGGCGGGTGCAGGAGCGCCTGCAGACGCCCTGGTAACCCAGCACCGAATGTACCCAAAGCATGCTGGCGGGCGCAGGAGGGCCTGCAGACGCCCTGGTAACCCCGCACCGAGTGTACCCAAAGCATGTTGGCGGGCGCAGGAGCGCCTGCAGACGCCCTGGTAACCCAGCACCGAATGTACCCAAAGCATGTTGGCGGGCGCAGGAGGGCCTGCAGACGCCCTGGTAACCCCACACCGAGTGTACCCAAAGCATGTTGGCTGGCGTTTGCATAATGGTGGCCGAGGTTAACAGGTATGCTGTGGCTAAGTCTCAGGTATGGAAGCAATCTGATACATTAACCTGCGAATAGCCATTAATCACAACAGGTAACAAGGTACTTGCGTGTTTATACATGTGGAGTGGACCTACAGACCTGCCGTATTCGAGTTGGAACATGATTAATCTCCCCAAATAAAGCGGACTTTGACCAAAAGTCATAACAAAAAACCTGCAACGTATACAGAAGCAACAGGAATGTCGGCACGGGGACAGGCGACCAAGGAAAGCAGCAGGCTGGGCTGAGCTCAGCTATGGAATAATCACTCTCTGCCATGGGTACCGAATGGAATAGTCTGTAGATCTGCCCTAAACTTTCCAGAAAAACACATGTCCTGGCGTTCGGGATGTTAGCTTGTGCCAAACTGTAATGGGGTTAAGGGCCTTGCTCAAGGGCCCAATGGTGGGATCACTCTGCCGACCCAGGGATTTTAAACCAGCAATCTTCTGAGTCCCAACCCACAGACCTGCTCCCCCCCAAACAAATTACAAGTTAATTTTTTTTGGTCAGTACATAAAATAACATGGAATTTTGATGTCTTTATAATAATTCTAAATTGTAGAGAATAGACAAATAAATACAAATAAACCTTTCTATAGGTAGGTGTGTACAAACTTTTGACTGGGATTAAACACCCCGACACAGGACGATAGTCAGTCCTGGGGAGGTGGGGCACATGCTCAGCTGACTTGTCCCGGCGGTCACCCACCCTCCGTGTCCGTGGCACTGCTGATGACGTTGGTGAGCTTGGTCTTCAGGCTGGTGTAGGTGGCGCTGTTGCGGCTGGCGCTCTCGAAGCGGCCGGTCCCCAGCGAGACCACGCACTGCACCGGCGTGTTGGGCCACAGACACTTGCACTCGTGGATCGCCAGCGCTGTCGGGTTGTTGATCAGCAGGCCGCCGTCCTGCCCGGAGACGGGGGAGCTGGGTGAGTGGTGGGGGCCACGGGATCGACCTGGAGCGCTGTACAGTAACTCGTGCTCTAAATGTACAGTCTGCAGTAAGTGCATAGCAAGCAGCGGCGTTTGTCAGTGGCTCTGATGTCAGAAGGCGGATAAACAGACACACTCGCAGGAAGAACTCGGCACAGCTCTTCTAGGCGGGGGCCACACAAGGAAGGGACTTTCGGCGTTTCATGTGAGGAAACACCAAAATTGGGGGGGGGGGGGAACCGGATGGGTCTGGGCGGTGTAAGTGCTGGGAAAAAAAAAAAAGGGGGGGGGGGGGGGGGGG